AACCAGTAACGAAAACTAAGTGAGTTTCGATTGAATTGTATACTGTAGTGCTCTCTATGAGTCGTTTATTCAACAACAGTATATTCATTTGAAACAAATAGGCTATAGATGCGATGTCCAAGTGATTATAAACAAGTGAATGAATTTACTGGCTGTTGGGACATGGTGTTATATTTTGGTTGGCTTAAGACTAGAGGGAATTTTGTAATATATCTTTAGTCCAATGAGAGAAAATATAAGTTATGTAGTATTCAACTTCGTAATTTTCCTTAGATTTTTGTTTCTAACAACTCACAACCAGAAACAACCACTTTGATTTTATTTATATAACATACACCAATCACAACTCGAATAGATTTTTTTTATTCGGAAATGTTATTGTTTTGTTGACAAATATAACCATAATGTCTTTTGGGAAAAGATCCTACAGTCAAATTTGATCCGGGGCTTAAATTCAATGGACAGTATCTGAATTACGATTTTTTTCCCTGTACCTAAACTCAAATTATTTTCTATTTAATTTACTATCAACCAACGGCAAGATAAAAAAAAAACAATAAAGAATGCTGGAGTATTACAATTACTAATTAAAATACGTCAAAATGACTATCTCATTTTACAACTAAAAATCGTAATATGTAAGCTATTTTAATTTGATATTTTTGAGCTTGGTGTCGTTTGATGGGAAATTTTAAATGCTAAATATAAATTCTTATGCATTTTTTTATAAAACCCGATATTTCTTTGTCATTTGAATTACAAAAATTAAAATGACTGACATTTTAAATTATGAATTGGACCAAGCAAGATCCTAATTATTTTTCTGACATAGATGTCTTCTACCTTAGAATGCATACCATGTTCCATAATATTGGTTGGAACAATTAAAAGATAAACACATGTTTTAGTAAAAAAAATTGCGGCTATTTGGCTAACGATACGATCTTGGAAAGAATTTCTTTCCACGAACCAGCAAGATCAGGTCATAGCAAATGATTGGCTACTCCTTTTATCTATGGTCATAGTAATAAAGTGTTATGAGGTTTTAAAGTTTTTGACATTGGGTTCATTCAAATTGTAACCATTAAAACATTTTTTTTTTGTAGAGCTTTGCGCCTTTAGCATTTACATGTTATCAAAATCACTTTTGACCTCGTAGCAGCAAACCTTAATCTTCGTTAAATCTAATGTTATTCAAATGGGTTGTAAATACTGCTTGTTTATAGGAATATATTTGTAAAACTACAATCAGACAACTAGAAAGTCGTTCAGTCTGCAGGTTTTCTGCGGCGGGGATATTTATATAATATCCAGTTTCTGTATATTTCAACCATGAATAAGGATAGTATAAATGAGAGACATAGATTTGAATCGTTGAAGCACTGCGGTGCGGGAGTTGGAGCTATCACCATTGTAAGGCGGCTTGTTATGCTGAATACAGCACAATGTATTCAGGCGTGCATGTGGCATGGGCGATGGGCGAGGGTAAAAGTTCAAGGACTGAAGTGCAGCACATAGTCTGGGCTTGTAATTGCATGGGCTCCCATTTTGTGCTCTATAAAAATATTTGCTTTCTACTACGCGTTGACTTTAACAGCCGTAAAATTGTTTACTTAAGATTTCAACGCATGAAGTATAACTTCGCCACTAAGATTCAGCAAATATCAAATTAAACGCCAATCGAAAAGCGCAATCTTGATAATAAGACAAATGTTTAGAAAATACATGCTTTTTACAATTATTTAAGTTTTATGGCATTGTAACAAACAGCTATGGGTAGTAAATAATAAAACACATGTACTCATATCAAAGTTTTCAAATTTTTATCAAGACCTTTTTTAGGTTAGATTCCCTGAGAATTCCATTAACAGTACCTAGTGGTGTAAATATATTTTTTATTAATTAAATTAGGGTTTTTGGAATAGAAAGGTTAAAGTACTGACAAAAGGAAAAACTAGATTATTTAGTGGGTAAACATACATTTTCAGCAGAAAACACACGCATATGTAAATGTGCATTTATATATAATCAACCGACCACACTAATATAGCTTTTCTTCAGCATAAACGTGCGTTTCGTTCCTTAACAGGTGAACTACGCAAAGTATCATTTATGGTCCTTTGACCAGTCACATGGCTACAATTTTTGAAATGGGCGCAAGGAACCATTTTACCTGACGGGATTGACCGTCGCTGGGATCGTTTAGCGTGGCATGGCGACCGTAATTGCATGGTAACTACTCCTCTAGTAGATCAAAATTTGTGGCCATGCGACCGGCCAGAAAACAATAAAATAATACTTTTCGTGGTTCACCTGTTTAAAGAACGAAAAAACGTTTATGTTGAAGATAAACTACATCGGTGTGGTTGACCAGTCTACGTGTTACCATAGATAAAAGGAGTAGACACACTCCTTTTATCTATGGTGTAACTACGCCCCAATGCGTGTATACCGTACTCCTCCACTGTAGATTGGTATTGGAGACGTTACTTCTACGTCGCCCTTGTCCAGTCTATGTGTTACTAGCCCCACATCACATGACCTCCACTGTAGCTTGGTATTGGAGACGTTACTTCTACGTTGCCCTTGTCCAGTCTACGTGTTACTAGCCCCACATCACATGACCTCCACTGTAGCTTGGTATAGGAGACGTTACTTCTACGTCGCCCTTGTCCAGTCTACGTGGTACTAGCCCCACATCACATGACCTCCACTGTAGCTTGGTATTGGAAACGTTACTTCTACGTTGCCCTTGTCTATTCTACGTGGTACTAGCCCCACATTACATGACCTCCACTGTAGCTTGGTATAGGAGACGTTACTTCTACGTCGCCCTTGTCCAGTCTACGTGGTACTAGCCCCACATCACATGACCTCCACTGTAGCTTGCTATTGGAGACGTTACTTCTACGTTGCCCTTGTCCAGTCTACGTGTTACTAGCCCCACATCACATGACCTCCACTGTAGCTTGGTATAGGAGACGTTACTTCTACGTCGCCCTTGTCCAGTCTACGTGGTACTAGCCCCACATCACATGACCTCCACTGTAGCTTGGTATTGGAGACGTTACTTCTACGTTGCCCTTGTCCAGTCTACGTGTTACTAGCCCCACATCACATGACCTCCACTGTAGCTTGGTATAGGAGACGTTACTTCTACGTCGCCCTTGTCCAGTCTACGTGGTACTAGCCCCACATCACATGACCTCCACTGTAGCTTGGTATTGGAAACGTTACTTCTACGTTGCCCTTGTCCAGTCTACGTGATACTAGCCCCACATCACATGACCTCCACTGTAGCTTGGTATTGGAGACGTTACTTCTACGTCGCCCTTGTCCAGTCTACGTGTTACTAGCCCCACATCACATGACCTCCACTGTAGCTTGCTATTGGAAACGTTACTTCTACGTCGCCCTTGTCTATTCTACGTGGTACTAGCCCCACATTACATGACCTCCACTGTAGCTTGGTATTGGAGACGTTACTTCTACGTCGCCCTTGTCCAGTCTACGTGTTACTAGCCCCACATCACATGACCACCACTGTAGCTTGGTATTGGAAACGTTACTTCTACGTTGCCCTTGTCTATTCTACGTGGTACTAGCCCCACATTACATGACCTCCACTGTAGCTTGGTATTGGAGACGTTACTTCTACGTCGCCCCTGTCCAGTCTACGTGATACTAGCCCCACATCACATGACCTCCACTGTAGCTTGCTATTGGAGACGTTACTTCTACGTTGCCCTTGTCCAGTCTACGTGTTACTAGCCCCACATTACATGACCTCCACTGTAGCTTGGTATAGGAGACGTTACTTCTACGTCGCCCTTGTCCAGTCTACGTGGTACTAGCCCCACATCACATGACCTCCACTGTAGCTTGCTATTGGAGACGTTACTTCTACGTCGCCCTTGTCCAGTCTATGTGTTACTAGCCCCACATCACATGACCTCCACTGTAGCTTGGTATTGGAGACGTTACTTCTACGTTGCCCTTGTCCAGTCTACGTGGTACTAGCCCCACATCACATGACCTCCACTGTAGCTTGGTATTGGAGACGTTACTTCTACGTTGCCCTTGTCCAGTCTACGTGTTACTAGCCCCACATCACATGACCTCCACTGTAGCTTGGTATAGGAGACGTTACTTCTACGTCGCCCTTGTCCAGTCTACGTGGTACTAGCCCCACATCACATGACCTCCACTGTAGCTTGGTATTGGAAACGTTACTTCTACGTTGCCCTTGTCTATTCTACGTGGTACTAGCCCCACATTACATGACCTCCACTGTAGCTTGGTATTGGAGACGTTACTTCTACGTCGCCCTTGTCTATTCTACGTGGTACTAGCCCCACATTACATGACCTCCACTGTAGCTTGGTATTGGAAACGTTACTTCTACGTTGCCCTTGTCTATTCTACGTGGTACTAGCCCCACATCTCATGACCTCCACTGTAGCTTGGTATAGGAGACGTTACTTCTACGTCGCCCTTGTCCAGTCTACGTGGTACTAGCCCCACATCACATGACCTCCACTGTAGCTTGCTATTGGAAACGTTTTTCTACGTTGTCCTTGCCCAGTCTATGTGTTACTACGTCTCACATCACATGACCTCCACTGTAGCTTGATATTGGGGACATTATACTTCTACGTTTCTCTTGTCCAGTCTAGTGTTACTACGCCCCACATCAAATGACCTCAACTGTAGCTTGGTATTGGAGACGTTACTTCTACGTCGCCCTTGTCCAGTCTAGTGTTACTAGCCCCACATCACATGACCTCCACTGTAGCCTGATATTGGGGACATTATACTTCTACGTTTCTCTTGTCCAGTCTAGTGTTACTAGCCCCACATCACATGACCTTGACCACAACTACGTACCGCGGAGACGTCACGGTGTGTGGCGTGCTGCAGCAGGAGTCGGCAGGAGCGGAGATGTGCCGCAAGAGAAATATTATTGGATCGCCTTAGTTGTCGGATCGACCGCTGTAGCGCTAGCGACGCATTGCGGTGCTCAGTACTATAGCAGCCTCCGCAGCGTCAAGTTCCGGTATGTTACGTGCGTGAGTTCAGTGAGACTGTTTTGTGAGTTGTGACTAATGTTGCGAGATTGAGATTGCCCAGGTGAGTAAGTTTTCATTTTACGTGTTGAGTTCGATGGTCAATTTACGTTTTCAGATCCAAAGAAGGGGTTTGGGAATCGAACCATTGATTAACCTAAGAGCATTGATGGTTTAGACAATTTTATGATTGAAAAGCACGTTTGAATAATTTCAATATAGCTCAGGAAAACATTCCCTGCTTTTGACACAAAAGTGTACACAAATAAATATTAATAAGTTAAATTTTAAATTATCAGTACGGTATTAGACGAAAAGTGTATTATTCTGTTTAGCATATACACCACTAAATTACTATTCAATATGATTAAAATTAAAATTTGGAAAATATTTATACACCACGAAATAAGTAGGCTATACATGTTTATAGAGCATTTTATTATCCAAAATCGAGCATTATCCCCTTGCCATAGGAATCTCTATTTGACAACACAGTTTTGCGTATTCATTCGAACTATTGGACCTAAAACGTAATGTTTATAAACATTTTGAATCTTAATGCAAGTTCAACCCTAAAACTTTGACATTTTTAAAAATTGTTTCTTTTTCAACCTATGACAAAGTTGGCAATGTTATGCAGTTTAATATGCAGTTTTCAGAAATATGTCTTTTTTGGTGTTGGATTGATATATTTGAAATGAGAGCCATGGCTCCACTCGTTTTAGCGCACGAGACAAGTGCAGCTACGCAAATTGGGGTAAGTGCAACCATGCTAGTAAAAATAAGAAAAAGAATAAAAAACTGGAAAATATACAAAAAAGAAGACTATTAAAAACAAGAAAAACATGAAACGTTGTAGAAATGGTGTGAATCATGTAAGTATCCTATATATTTTTATTCAAGCAATAACATAAAAATCCTTATTTTTGATACTTTACTCATTTTCCCGATTATCGCGCTTTGAATTGCAACAATGTTTGTATATCCTAAATGGTTTAAGATAAAAAAATGAAAAAAAAAAATCTTGACAGAATCAGTGAAAACCAAGCTTTAACACACTTGCCCCAGTTGTCAATTAAATTGCCTCTTATGGAGGGTTCTATGCTGTGGTTGAACTTACCCCGGATGCATGGGGCAACTGGAACCAGTGGACAAGTTTTTTATTTTATTTATTTTTTTATTTGTGGTAAACCGTAAAGTTATTCTAAATTGTAGGACATTTTAGCTGGATAAACCCTAATACTGTTTGCTGAGTTTTATTTATCTCTCCTTAACAGTTACTTCACAATAACAGTTCAAAATTGAAAAATAAATAAACCTGGCTGAACTTACCCCACTACACCCTAAATTAATTTTTTTTAAACCCAAGTATGCTCTTACCCCAAAATGCACTCCCCCCACTGCACCCTACTTTGGATAACTGTGTAGGGGTTAAATGTATTTTCGCATTGTAATCTCTCTATACATAATATTAGAGGTAACCAGGTACGAACGTAATGAAGGGTTATTCGTAGTTAGTGGTTTCGTGGTTGACACCTTTATTTTCATGGCAAGAGGCAATTCATTTATAGGTTCTTGTGTGTGGTCCATCTTGCACTCTGTTGTACAATTGTTATTTGACTGCTGGCCGTACAAATAAATAAAAAAAGAGTTTGATAAATTTGAAAATTACCTCTTGATATTTGAAAATATATCTAATTTGTGGGTTATGACAACTTTATATGCCAAGGGAAAAAATTTAAAATAAGGAATTACTCTTAAGACGTATATCTATGTTTCATACATCTACTGTGTTTCTTATACCTTATACCTTATACCTGTCATACACCTAAAATCAGGACCATGTATGTTTTATATGAGCTTTATGTCGGAGAAATAGGTATATAAAGCCAAGTGTTTACGTAAGTCACCAACTAAGAAGCTCGAATGAGGATTAATTTAACATATACGCTGTAGTAACACAGGTTATATAACACACGCAGTAGGCATACCTGTGTGAAATCATGTTTTCTAGTTTTGTTTGAAAACATTGATCCGCACGCTGGATAACTTAATTGATTGTTACATTATTATTAGTAATATAAACTATATAACGTGAGGTTGTTTAGTAACACATTCATATTCTGCAGAATCTACATGAAATCTTTCCTCCAACTAAATAAAATTAACAAATTATAATATTTCAGCAGAATCTGTAAATTTACCTTTTCTAGAAGTTTTTACAGTTATTATTTTTAAGGATGTGGACCATGTTTACAGCTAAATTACCTTGGATTTAGTTATTGGTCGTGTACCTTCGTTCCTTAATACATAGGAAAAGATGTTGTAATTGAAAATTCTCACCCCAAACATTACAAATCATAGTTGCCGTAGGCATCGCTTAAGAGGCAGAGAAAATACGTCATACCAGTAAAGTTATGATTACTTACCACGCTGTTAAATAGTATTTGGAACTTATAGAAAAGGATAATCGTTATTAAGGTAAGATAAAATTCTACCAAAGAATCAAATATGCATAGTACGTTTTAAAGTTTACTTTATATATAATCAACACTATAAAAACTGTACTGCCTTATCAAAGCACAATTAATTATTCTTCCAACATCACTGCAGTCAGAAACTACTTTAGTTGCATTTGCAAAATATTGCTAGCAATCATGTTACGCTAGGACGTTTAAAGTGCAGCTCTGTTGCCTCAATTTGAATAAGAGAGTGCTAAAACGTCCCGTACATTATCTGTGCATAAAAACATCTGTTTATTCATAACCCATACATACATTACCACACGTACAAAACCCTTTTAATATTTGCACAATAAACCGGATTGCTTATCTCCATTAGGAGAAAGGCTAGTGTGATTTTACTGGTGACAGGCTGGAAATAAAACATACAAATCATGCGATAGCAAAATAGAAAACTCTATAAATTTAAGTCCATACCAATTTTGGTGAAACACGATTTAATAATAAAATGATAATAGGTAATATGTTAATATTTCGGGTTAGTAAAAACAAACAATATTAAACTCCTAAAATATTTCATTTGGATATTGTATATATATTTATTATTTTGCTACTTATAAACATTTTTAGTCTAAAGCTTAGGTGTAAATATATACTTATACTGAGCACAAAAGGTTGTCAAGTTTCCCGAGAGAGTTGTCTATACCTTGCGTGTAATGGATTTTAAAACGCGCCTCCCTCGCAAAGCATAAGTTAGTTAGGGCAAAGAACAGAAGAACGAGAAAAATAAACGGTATCAGCAATCTGACATACTTTCTCCCAATAGCTTGTCTACAACTGACATCCTAATTAAAATCAAATATGAAAGGAGAATGGTGGAGCTTTAAAAAAAATACTGTATTGAAGCGATGTTGTATCATTTAAAGTTAATATGAACAAACGAGATCACATTTATTTACACATATGAATTTTATTGTGTATATCAATTATTGTTGGAAAAGTACGTATTTAAGTTGATAATATGGATACAAACTAGTATTTTATAATTTACATGTTTGAGTTTTGATAAAAAATGTCATTAAGAGTCCATAAAGTTGTCACTAAACAAGACTAGTCATTTCTCTTTCAAGAAGCTCGCAAAAATCTGACCTCTAAAGAAAAGTTTCCTAAAGAACCGTTATCGTAAGAGCTTTTTCTAAATTATTTTTAAAGATCGTCAGCAGTTTTATGAAAAGCTCCATACTTTACTGCAAATCGTTCTTAATAGTTTTTGAGAACGCACTTTATAAAAGCAAAGTTATAAGAAAGTTATATTACATCGTTCAGTTGGTTTTACTGTTGACAAACACGTAGGTCTTGAAAAATAAGTAGCTTATTTTATGAAACCTTCTTTATTAGTTATTTTTAGAAGATAATTTTCAAAATTTTTTATACTGTTAAATTAAAGGTTTGAAGATTGATTTTACTCTTAACAAAATAATAGAATGTGACTAGATTCGTCTACTGCAATAAAACAAGAGTTCAACTAAAAGTTAAAGTTAAAACCTAATCTTAAACGGACCTTACTTAATTTTAATCTTATCCTAGATCACATTATTAGATACATATACACTTATTATAACCAACTCATTTAATAATGTCATTAATGCTTGTCACTTTTCACGATACAATCTAAGCAAAAATCTCATTACTACTCTACTCACACCATCTACATAGAGAAGCGAGCTGGTGTAGTGGCTAAAGCGCGGGACTTCAGTCCCTGAGGTCCCGGGTTCGTTCCCCGCCAAGTCACCAATGGATTTTATCTAAGTGATAATGCCGCAACCCCTAGGTCTGGCCTGAAGTAATGTGAAAAACAATCCCAGGCTCTTGTATAGCGTCCTAAAAAAAAAAGGTAAATGGTTTATATAACTACTTTAGAACTAATTATAAATTAATTTTTGCACCCATACTTCTGAATTCACATTAAAAACCTTAACAATAGGTTGAAAATTGCTAATAAAATTAAACTATTAATAGTTATGCAACAAAATTTATTATTGTTAACTTTCCGAGTTAAACAGGTTTCAGACTAGATTTTGGATGCCAAACAGTGAATATGGAAAGTAAATAACCACCCTACTGGTTGTATTTGTGACACATAAAACCACAGATAGTTACACGCATAGAATATTTGATTTTGACACCAAAACTTCTTTCATACTTCTTAACAGCTTTCTGCCATTCCAACTATATATACTAACGTTGGAAAATTCCCAACTAAACATAAGTTATTTCAAGCACAGCAACTAAAAAATTAAATAAACAAGAAAAGTAATATATAAAACCACCGTATATTTAAGTAATTAAGATGGACATAGGACAGATACAACTCGGATGTCCTAAGACGCAGGAGATATGGGGGGATGATGGAAGGGGGGGAGAACCCTGCTTACTTATTCATCCACCCCTCGTCTTCGTCGCCATTCAACTTCAATGTTTGCGAGTTTTCCCAGTTCGTCCTGAAGATACCTTTTCTTGAGCCAAAACAAATATTTCACTGTGTATCTTGCAAGTTTTTAACATAGATTGCAACTTACGCGATTTGGTTAATCCAATTGTG